TGTAGGTGCGTCATTAGACTAAATTAAAAATTTTACGTTCTTACTTAGAAATTCTATTTTAATTCTCTTCTGCCTCTTTTTATTCTTTTTAAAAAAAACCATGGTAAAATCGTATAAAAATGTTATTTTTTTATTAATAATAAATATTCCAATGCAAATTTTAAATAATTAATTTCAATATTAAAATCGTTTGATATTGTTAAGTTCAGAAATTGATATTCATATGTGTGTGTAAAAATCTATTGTTTTAATCACACATTGTCAGATAAGAAAACGTTGCTATACTAATATATTCTAATTATTTTTAAAAGTTTATAATAAAAGTCCGTTCAAGTTTTTTAAAGTGACCGATAAAAATGATTATTACAATCAAAATGTTGACTAGTACAAAAAGAGTAATAGGACCGAATAGGACTATAACAGTCGCAATGGAGAAATATCCTTTCTCGAAGAAATATCATTGAACCTAAAGTCCACGCGAAGTCCATAAATTTCGAAATAACATTGTTCTATGTCACGCGAGGCACCTTCTTCTATTTTTATACCTTCTCTCTCGATATGCGAATAAAAAGATTTGACGCTTATACTCGTAATGCGATCATCATTATTGTTTGTCAGTCACAAATATATAGCCCTATTACATGTCTAGGACGAAGCATCGATCATGTAACAGCGCGTTATCAATACATGTTCAGCATTGTAGTGTTAGATTCACTAGCTACATATACAAGTATCATTCGACTATTCTCTTATACGCAAAGTGAGACCGTCATTTATACGTATATTCAATCATATTCTCCAATGCAATTACCCTAAACTGCATTTTGAGAAGGTTACATAATTAGGAAGGATATACATGTTTATTTTTCTTACACATATGTATTGGCTTGCATTAATTCAAATGTTGAGTTCAACGATATGGAAATATAAGTGGGAAGCGATAATTAATACACTTTAATACGCATTAATATACGTTTTAACCAGCGTTGGGAACATTACTTTGTAAAAAGTAATGTATTATTGTTATATGTCGTTACTTTTATATTTTTAGGACTGAAATCAGATTATGATTTATAAACGTACATTATATAAAAAATTTTATTAAATATTATTTTTAAATATAATATTAATGTTGTTACTAACAATAACAGTGCATTCCAATATACACTGCCAAAACTGAAAATTTATAATTACAGATTTTCGGTACTGGCAGCGACTATTGGAATATAGCTTAAGATATGAAATACAAAACATTCTTCAATGTTTAAACTTTTATTATAATAAAATATTTCTAGCCAATTAAAATAATTAATGCGATTTATTTGAATAGTTATGAGGATAATAGAAGATATTAAAGTAACGATAAAAATATGAATTCGTTATTATAAAAATGTAACAATGTTACCGTAATCGTTATAGACAGAAAAAATTAACAAAAACGGTAACGGCGTTATAGACAACGCATTATTTCCCAACTCTGATTTTAATATGTCCACTTTACACAAATATACACACGCGATAATGCCAGACGCATTATATTATTAATTATTAAGATATATATGTATAAACAGAATACATTTCTAGATATAAAGCATGATAGATATGTGCTCGAATACACGACTAGCAATAACCGAAAAGCCGCGATCGTGGAATGTGCAAAATATTAAAAAATGAATAATATTATATAATTCGTATATAAAGTGAGATTTTTAAATGTAATAAACGATTTCAGCCTTGTACACCTAATAAAATATTATTGACATTTTTACACAACTTTAAATATTAAAATATAAAATTACATAAAATATTTTCTTTTTCAAAATAAAAAAATAACATGAAATAATACCGTAATAGTATTATAACTTATAACTGCTTCGTTTTACAAGAGACACAAATATTGTATAGGCAAAACTCATTTCCCCATTATTATACACGTTTGACAGAAAACGTTAAAAATTAATTGTTAATTTAATTATTTCAACAAGAAAAATTTATAAAAAAATTTCCAACAGAATAATACGCGTATAATATTAGATACTATTTAGATTTATAATAATTTTTCTCTTTATTGTAAAACAAAATTATGTGTAAACATCATAATAAATTTAAACGCAAAGTTTATAATATAATTTGACGATTATTTATGCACGTCATTCAAAAATGCTGGTACGAATTATTAATTAAAAGCTCTTTCTGGAATACACCATCACGAATCTGATACTCGCGATCGCAGCTGTGCGGCGTGTATGGACGGAGCAAGCGCATTCTCGCGAATAGAGCGAATGCCGGTGTCACTCGCGAGCGAGTGTCCTCCAATGAAACGCTACAAAATAAATCGCGATCCTTGAAAACAATGTCTGTCCCGAGAAAACGCGACGCAGCAAAGCGAACGCATCGCCGCGCGGCACGTAACGAATTACCCGACCGGGGTGAAGAATGGCGTCGTTTTCCAGAATAATTGGCACGACAATATTCACCGACCGATTTTACACGAAATACACGGGAGAGCCTCGAGAGGCGATCGAGTCACACGACGAGTGTTTTCGCGTTAATTCCCGAGTCTTTCGTCGTAAATCGTTCGTGTTCTCTGCTAGTCAATATGATGCTATCGGGCATAACTTCTTACACCCTTCGTTAATCCGAGTACATGCGTGGATGCAGCTTAGTTATTTCCGTGTCGAAATGACAGGGGCAGTAATTAGTGCACTGTACGTACTTGTTTTCTCAGGGGGACATTCAGTACTCCAGCGGATAAGACTAATTATTTGCAACCAGATATGTTCAGGAGAAACGTACGTAATTAATTATCGAGAATCACGTTTTGTGCGATATGTAGATTTAAAATTAAATACATAGAAAGGTGGCAGCTACGAGGTTTTTGATTTAAAAGCAAACAGCGAGTCGATCTGAGTACAAGACGAGAAAAGACGTTTGATAAGCAGTTTGCGCGATGAAATATTTATTATCGACTAGTCTTTCCTCTCAATGAGAAAATTTTACACAGCTCGGTCAACTTATTCCCGAATTTACATCTCTTAATGTTATAAGTTTATGTATTTTCGCCAATAGAGCAATACATTTACGGTACTTGACTTTGATCCTTATTTGATCGCCATCAAAAGAACGCCTTTCCCGCAAGAAGACCGTTCGTCTCGATTTACATAATAAATAGCTGCGGAGAAACTCTTTTCTTCTTTTTAAGAGCGATCCTGCTAAATCGCCGAACGTCGAGACCGATAGACGAGCAAAGTACCGAAAGTTTTAACTGATATTATTGCCATCTTTATCATCGAATCGCCCTTATCTGATCCACTCGACTTCACCTCGTTACCGGAATGTTATTAACTTTGGGGGATGATGAGCGCCGCCAAGTGCCTCCTTAAACGTTACGGCATTTTCATCTACCGGTCGACTTACCGCGGCGGCGGAGCCATAATTCGGGATGTGGTGCTCGCGACGTTACTCGCGTGTGTTCGTCGAGCTTAAATCTCACACATAGCGAACTTGCAGTGCACCCGCGTAAATTACTCCCCTCCTGCGGGCACGTATATAACTTCGCGGCCGGTATCCTCCCTCTCGGAATGCCAGTAAGCTTCGTCGAGAAATTTAATCGAGATTGGGAAAACCTTATTTTCCTTCTCGCCCGCGTTTCACGTCTCGTCTTGCAGCCAGATAAAATGCTGTCGCGAGTGAGACACTCGTCTCTCCCTTGTTACAAGATGGGATCTCGCGGCGAGAAACAGGCTTGCCGTTTTTTCCCTCGCCGAGAATGGACGTTCCGCGATAAATGAGACAGTGCACTGTCTAAAAGTGTATGTGTGTGTATGTGTGAATGATAATACCAGGAATCCGCTAAATTTTATAATCAAATATTCGCCTCGAAAAATTTCACTCGGAATAAAAATGCTGCCTCGTTATTAATAAATAACAAAGAGATTACTAAATATTTTCAACATCCTTGCGATTGGAACTTCAATTCTAAATAATCGAAGAACGTGTCTTTCAATCTGTAAATATATGTGACGTCCATAAGCTCTCTGACAAATCCTAATATACAAATGCATAGTTTATACAGAATATTCCACTGGACGGCAACCATTCGTATCAGCGTCAAAAGTATTGGGCCATACATTATTATAATAATCTCAACTGACTGTATTTTACAGTGAGGCTCAATGAGGTGTAAACTTCTTTGTAGTTAATGTTAAATAATTTTAAACATTTGTTATGCCACATATACATATATCCTTAGTGCCAATTTCTTAGGTCATAAAATTCTTGGTTTTCTCTTTTACGAATTTTATCATATCGTAAAAATTATTGTACATGTTAATGAAAAATAAAAGCGTTTCTGTATGAATTGTTATTAAGTAATATATCCAGTCGTAAGTATAACTAGAAGATAGAAATACTCGTAAATACACTAGAACTTCGTAATAGCGCGCGGTTCGGAGCTCCGAACGTAATAACGAGGGTATCCCTACTTCACCATTTTAAATCATGAAATTCAGCACCGTTATTGGGTTCTATCGTGGTTACCTCTATTCACACTTCTTATACGCGTCTAGCGCATACGGAAAGGATTTTATTTCGCTATTTCGAGATTTGTTATACGAGGTTCCAGAATATATATTGTATTCTTTTATACTATGAGCTTTCAAGAATTTTATCAGAATTATCTCAAAATTAATTAATTTGCTTAAAAACTTTTGTTCCTGGCATCCTTACAAAAACTAAACAAACGCAATGCGAAAAATTCAGTCAATATCGAAGAACAAGCCGTGAAAATTAAATGAATTAATTGTAAGGCCATACCAGAAGCAGCCTCCGTGCGACATTGTTTATATGTCGATGCAATGATTGGTCAATCTCGCAAAAGCAGATTGCTCATTGCATAACGAGCGTCTGGACAGATGCGACATCTTTATCGACCCCTGCTTTCTGCACCCTGTACGTGCGTCGCATTGCATCGCATCGCATCGCATCGCATCGCGTCGCATCTAAAGCTCGTAGACGTCACGTCCGTTCGGTCTGGCCACAGTCGGACGACAGGATGACGGACTCGCGTACGAGTGAATAATGTGTACTCGGAGGCGCACGTCGCTAGAATTTCTACCCTCACCACCGCGCGGCCTCCTCGAGAAGCTTACCGTGGTCTTGCAGCAGCAGTAGTGAAAAAGTTTGACGTAAGCGCTACGAAAGTGGCGGTCCGCCACGCAGTAGAGCAGATTGTTGAAGCAGGACTTGGACAGAGCGAACCAGGCCAGGTTGTACAGCACACGCGTGCTCACCGGAATGAAGGTGTTCACGCAGACCGCCAGGCCAAACGGCAACCAGAACACGACGAACATCACGCAGCTACACATATTCGTCTTCGTGAGCTCGTAGTCCCAGGAGAAAGCGGCTGGCGGCTTGTACGAGCCTCGCGTGGCCCGTCGCACACGTATCACCAGCTTCACGTAGAGGAAGATCGTCGTCAAAGCTGGCAGCCCAACCAATATACTTGCCCCCACTGCTTGTTCCATCGCAATACCGCTGAGCCTGCGACGGCAGAAGTCAGGACCTATGTCCAAGGACGATTGCAAAGCCACCACAGTCACGGCGATTAGCCAAACGATGATAATCGTGGCTGTTACACGACTTGCCGTCAGACTGGCGTATCTAAGAAATATGAAATACGTTGCTATAAGTATTAATAAATTAAACAAAAAAAGATTGTATGCTGTTATCTTACTACGTTCACTCTCTCTCTCTCTAAATTCTTTGGAATAAAATCTCACTCGTTAAAGTTTTAGAGAGCATTATAACGAAAAATATCTTAACAAATTATATTGTATCGCAGCAATTCTTCATAGCTTTGAGTAATTACATATAACTCAGACAATATGATAAGTGCTTTAAAGTAATATAAATATAGAGACTGCTAAGGGGTATCATTAATTCGGCTTGCTGTTGCAACTTAGAATACACTCAGGAATATAACTATAGAGATAACAGAAGATAATACGTTGCTCCGCCGGATGGATATTTCCCCCTTAATTGCATCACGAGCTTGTTTAAGTCCCGGCTTTCTTATACAGCGTATTCAATTAAAGAAAATATTTCCCTCGGTGATACACTGCGACTGCAATTACGGAGTTGGTCGTACTAGTCTGTGGATTAACGAGGGGCTTGAAAAACGAGTCGGTAGTTACGGAGTTAGCGGTGCTGGCGGACGATTTCTCGTTTACAATGCGAGGAAACTTCCTCGAGTCCACGTGTTCGCCGTGATTCTTCTGACGCGACCAGTTAAAATACTTCCCCGTAACGCCGTATTGTCGCGAAACTTTCCGCGTATGAAAAGCAGTAGTAGTCGTCGTCGTCGTCGTCGTCGTCGTCGTCGTCATCGTCGTCGTCGCCCGTCGTCGTCGTCGTCGTCTCTTCCCCGAGAGATTGTCTGCTATCGGTTACGAATTCCAGCAATTCAAGCTAAAGAGAACGTCGCCCGGAATGCGAAATTACGAACTCGATCGTGACGCTGATAGAGAACCGTAGAAGCACTTCAACGTCAAACTCGAAGTTCCAAGCAGTGGTCGCCATACGCCATTATACAGCGATGGCTTAAACTGATAATAGTAATTTGATTTCTACCTCATTCACTGTGTTTACATTACCCATATTCACCCAACGACGTTAACCATCGCGAGATATTTTCATGCAAAGTCTACAAGCAGCACAATATATCCATCAGGCATGTATTATAACATTAACATTTTCTTTCCAGGTCTCTAATGATATTATCTGCTTGTAATAGGACATATTGGCCTGAAATATTCATGTATTCGTGAAAAAACCTACTTATAAGAAAGTAGTATTAATTTCGCAAATAAAGTAAAGATACGCGAATGTATAAAATTTTAATAAGTACTAATTATTGATCTCTCTATATGCGCTTCATCTTTTTGTGGGTAAACAGGCGCGGTCATAATTTTCTTCCATTCACTGTCCCCACCGGAACTCCGACCTTCGATCCGAACGATGACCCGCGGGCTTGCCTATATTACTGTATTTAGAGAATGTTGCCTTAGAAACACTTGCCTATAGTGAAGATATCAAATTCAGATATAAAGAGAATAATTACATATTTTCTGAAAAATTATTATATCAAGTTTCAGTGGTTGTTATCGAAAAAAATTGCCACAATATTCTGTCGTAACAAAAATTGTTATAGAAACAAAGGGGAGCACATATGTTTTTCTAGGAATGGTTGCATAAATTTCTCGATAATCGTTCATGGAAGTAGAGAGCTGTTACGTAAAAAAACGTCCCCGAGGCAGAAACAAGAATGTATGCGTGGGGAATTGCAGGAACGTGGTATCGATTGCTGGAATCACTGGTGCACTCGCTTTATCTTTCGGCTGGCAAACAGTTAACAGAAGCGGGCGTAATTTTCGGCCGCTATTGTCGCGAACGGCGGTAAGGCCACCCGGGACCAAAGAGCTTTACAAGCACAGGTTTTGGTATATATGTTGCTACGACCGCGCCAAATGAAGACCCGCCTGCAAGAACCAGATAGCCTCGCCTTTGATCGAAGTGAATTATTTACATGGAAATGGAGACAATCTCCTGCTGCACAGGATAATGCAAGTGTTTATTAAGGCAAATTGTTAGTCGGTAGTCGCAGCAGTTTGATGAAGTTCGGAAGCTTGTTTACGTGCTAACCATAAATGGATTTAACTCCATCTTCACATATTGGCTCTCCGTATAGGATAAAATTGATTGTTTCTGCCTTTTTTCTCCCCCGCGTGCCTCTTCTCGTCTCTCAGATTTGAATGCGACTTTTAAATTTTATCGACAACATATTAAAAAAAAAACAAACAAACAACGATCCATAAATGGTAGGAAATTCAATTTTTAATGGATTCTCAACTACCAATAAAAATTTTCACCAATGTATCACTCTGTATGAAACGAAACAAAACTAATATTATTTCCGTTTTAGATTATATATCAAACAGTTCGGTTTGATTAACCGGCAAGCGTGTCACACTGTGAAGTCCTTTATCTAGTTATCGAAAACCGCAGCCAGCCGATAAAATTCGCGTTAAAAAACCCGTGCCCCCCCGCTTTTTTTTTTTTGTTTTTTTCACCAAACCAAAGAGAAACCCTTTTTACTCGGCCTTTGCGCGAACGAGAGTTTGTTAGTTTTTGCGGCGGTCCGACAAATCGAGACACCCCGGGGTTCGATCCATTTTTCATGCCACCCTACGGGACAAATAACAAACTTTGTTAACGATTACACCGCGTACATCAGTTCGGCCGTCCATCCCACCGAGCGAGTGACGGAAAGCGGCCATGGGCAAGAACGAACGTATACTCGTGTGTGTCGCGTCGTTCCGGAAACGGACCGCTCAATTAGTATCCGACAAACACCACCTCGTAAACAAAGCGTGTGGGTTAAAGGCGACGCTTTGAAGGGTCCTCTTCCCCGACGCGACGCGACGCGACGGGGGGAAAAAGAAGTCGCGCGTGGTGGCAAAAAAGCGCCGACAATCGCAGGAATGTAGCGGCTATTGATCGCGCCAACGGTCACGTGTGCTATATCTTTTCGATCGCCGAAGCCGGCACTTAATTCGACGCGACGGCGGATGAGCTTCTCTCTCTCTCTCTCTCTCTCTCTCTCTCTCTCGCTCCCCCTGTTTCCGTCGCTGACAACGCGTTTCGTCGTCTCTTTCACCCATCATCCGTCGACGTACAGGCGCGAGTGAGGCTCTGCCGATGTCTCCCGATGAAGAATAAAAAAAGAAAAGTATTCCGGATGAGACGACGCGATAACGGTAATAGAGCGGACTCGTCTCCCCGAGCGGTGGCAGTTACAGGGTTGTAATATTGATCGGGCACCGGGTCACCGTTCATGTCCAGACTTGGATTCGCGCCATTTCGACGGTCAGAGACGCGAAAGGTCAGCACCATTTTCTACTATTTTCGCAATAACCTGATCAATCTTCCGCTTCCCGTTTTTGCAGCGCCGCATTTGTCGAGTGTACTCTATTAATCGGTAACGCGCACAGGGTGGATGTGCATTTGCACATTAATCGAGTATTTCGCGGAAAGAGAAAGCAATGCGCATTTTTGCATCTTTTAGTAATGGTGTAAATTGTTGTAATGTACGGGAGTTTTCGCGCGATAATAATATGGATTAATGTAATGTTTAGCTGATTGGACGACGAATTGCGTTATTACGTGTTCAGCCTGCACCATGAAAGCTAACTAGGAAACATTTTAATCCGGAACTGTGTCTATGCGCAAATGGAAATGTCGCAGCAAATGAATTTGCATAGAAAGTTGGAGTTTTGCATATAAATAGTGCCGAGCCAGACACAATGTGTGTCATTACTTTAGAATTGCGTTTTCGCACCACAGCACTGTAATCGTATTGTCCGGAAAAGCCATAAATATATAAAATATTGGGTAACCATCGCATTATGAAAGCGATATATTCTATATTTCGCCCACAATGCCATAAAATCATGATGTCATTAAACTGAGGCGTCGTATTTAACGCGTTGACTGTTTTAGCACAAAAATATTCTAATAATATTATCGAATATAAATTGAATGCAGAGGATAAATAATACGATATAAATTTCTGCGTCTTTTAGGTAACAATTGCGATGAATTATATTTGAACATCAATGTAATCTTTCGCGTGTGTTATTATACACTTACAATTAGAGTATATACAACTTTATAAATGTATTTTATATTCAGAAATTTGTGAAGAATATTCGCAATTGAAAATACTTGGTCCGAATGTAAATCGACAATGTGAATAATCAGAAATACTAAACAATAGAACAATTTCCTAACTACAGTTGTTCTTCCAGAAAACTTGTCAATTTAGGGTGATGTATATATCATGCGCTCGAATATCACGAAATTACAAAAGGATCCTAGGGATAAAATAGACAAGAGAATGAAACGCGACCGCGATGTCATGTGGCAGTCGACGTGTTAAATTGCGGAAACACCCCTTTTACGCGGGTTTCTCTCCATTTCCACCGTACCTTTCAGCGGGCAGACACAGACGTGCGTAATTTTCGGCGGCGATTGTGGCCAACGTTAGTACGGTCACCAGGAAGCAAAGAGCCTCGAGGGTCCACTCGAATCGGCAAGCACCCAGGGACTCCGCGTAACCCGCCAGGATTACGATCACCGAGACCGGTATTACCAGACCAGTCACCAGCAAATCCGCCAGCGCCACGTTCACGAGGAATGCGTTTCCTGGAAAAAGAACCCGCGTGAAACTCATTAAACTAATTAGCTTCTAACAGTTCTTGCGATCTGGAAACGCTCGAGAGAGTCAGCGTTCCGCACTTTTTGCGTTCGGATTACATTGTGGGCACGATAGTGGCAGATGTTCCTCGAGTAATGTTCTCATATCGCGCGAGAATCTCGAAATTGCTCGAAACGATATCTAAATTAATACACGAGTCGCCTATTTTCCCCCCCAGTGGAATAAGCTTAATTTTGGAAAACTTACCGAAATCATTTAAGATAACTTTTATTGTTATTTCTTGTTAGATAGGCGAATTTTTATCGCGCTATAATCAAAATAAAATAATTTAATAAGTGATAGAACAATATATATTTTTCAACATCTCGAAAGAAGTGTGTTCGCGAGTATTTGAAAGTTACAAATGTGAAAAAAAACTCGATTCTTGTAATTTCAATTTTAACGATTGATGATCAAGGGGTGAATAGACAATCGAGTAGTCGATTATGCTGCTATATGTAAATTAGTGGTTTTATTCGTTTTTTTTTCTTTACTTTCACTATTCCTCCGATACACGGACGGATCGCTTTGTCACAATTCAATATAGTTACACTTTACCGTCCGAAATGTAATCCAGTGGGTTAGACCTCGTCTTTTCCGATCGATCGCTCGCGCATCGCCACGACACGCGAAGTGGGATTTTCGGACAGTGATATAAATTCACGGGATAACCATGTTGGACACGTACCGATCTATCGCCCACGACGCCAGGATTTCGCCCGTACTGCCAAGAACGTCTAAGACGTCTCGCACTTTTCCTCTTCCGTTGGCAGAAGTGCCGGGTCTCTCCGACCGGGTATTCTTGTGCCAAGCTATTATATTACGCAGACTATCATCTTGAAATTTTTTGCAGCTTCGGACTGCAACTAACGCAGCACGGAGGCGCTCGATTTTCACCGCTCAAGAGAAAACTCGGAGAGATCGGCCGGCCAATCTCCAACATTTAATCAACGCACGCCCACAGGGGCATAATATCAGAGGTCGTAGCTTCTGCTCGGGCGAATCGTAAAAGCCATAGTAATTGCAAAACGATGTCGGCCGAAACGAACAATCACGCCGGCTGTAAAACTTTACTCAGACGGCGGCAACGACAACGGTGATGACGACGACGACGACGACGACGACAACGACGACGACGTCGACGACAACGAGGATAAGGCCACGGTGCCGCCACAGCTGTTATTACGAGAGTCAACGATTATAGCGTTTCATAAGTTCATACGTAGAGCCTGGCTAAGCGAAATACCAAATTGTAGAAAGTCACAGAAAGAAAGGGGCGTAATATCCGCATTACCTCGCATTGCCCCTCTCGCGACACGATATATTCCCTCGATTCTCGGGGATTTCCCCGAGATCAATACCCGACGAAGACACGGAGAAAAGGAAATAATATCCGTACGTCGTCACGTCCTTAGGGGAGTATAACGCTATAATAAGATTGCGCGCTTTTGTACGAGAGAGAACGAACGTATGCCATTACGCACGCTCGCACTGCGCGCTCTGTGAGTAATAAAATGCGTAATAAGATTTTTTTTTTTTTTGTCAAAAGTGCGCGCGTTAGAGCATCGAGCTTTCTCGCCAGGTTTAACAATCCATCCTCGGAGAAAAAGACCGACGTTATAACACTGCGGCGGCACCGAGAATGAACAAAGTTTTCATTACTCAATCGCCGCATCGCATACATATGCATGCGCACGTACGAGAAATAATTATTATAATTATACACTTCCTCGTATAGCCCGCATTTTACCGTGCTCGTTGTTATTGTCTGACTTCACTCACCCTTATAAGATAAATTTTCATTTACTATGGTTTCCTTATGTAAATAGATACTGCGCACAATGGAATAATGCCCCGCGCCGACGTGAAACGACGCAGTGGGTTATCAAGTATTCAAATTACATTTTACAACAAAAAAAAAAAAAAAACATGTACATTGTTATAAGTACCGAGCATTACGACTTTACCCGTGCAACTTAATTGAGCGGCGAAAGCACTTTTAAGAAGTCATCAACACCTATAAATTACGGACAAAACGGCGCGTTGTAAGTTGCAGCCTGCACGTATAATTTGAACTTTTTCTCGACGTCTTATCGCTATCTCGCACTAAAGTACTCGGCACATTTTTCGTAAAAGCATGGCGGTTATAATTATAACATATTATAAGCTTTTACTTATACACATATATTTGCAGTATAAAACTATTATATTCATAATTTATTTAAAAGTTCTATTACTTTCACTATGTGCATCAACGTGTCTAAAAAAAAATTAATAATTTCGGAGCAATAGGATTAAAAGTATCTGGAAATGTGTTCCAGCAGATAAAGTAAATTACATCGCGACGTTATACCCATAGACGACACTCTCGCTGTAAAGCTGAGGCGACATTTTTACCGAGGGCGACCTCGGACCTGTCGCTTTTCGGAAAGCGCGAAACGCAGTGGCACCAACACGCCAACGACTCTGCACGGCCGCAAACGTGTTCGCGCCTTTGGCAAGGATATTACACCGCGATAAAAATGATTACGCGACAAATTGCACCGTCCGCGCCTCGGCGAGGGAAGGCGCTGGGCTTTCGCCACCGCCTCTCGTCCCGGTTAATAGGATGAAATATCGCGGGCTCTTGGTATAGGTAGGCGAAAAACCCAGAGAGAGCCGGGCGGCGGGGAGGATCGAGAGATCCGCTCTCTTCAGGTATCGACAAATTAAGCTACCCTGCAGTAGTCGTCGCATTCGCGCCGCCCGCATATTCGCCGATCGCATTTTCCGGAGGTACGTTTTCGGCGTGACGAGATCCGATCGATTCAGCGGTTGATGCGTGGAATAAATTATCCCGCATCAGCGCTCGTGGCGTCACTTCGAAATTGATTCTCTCTATCTCCCTTCTCTATATCTCCATCTCTCATCCGGGTCCCCTGTCTAGCCGCAGTGCTGCAGCATCGTCATGGGAACGTGCACCCTTCCCCTCCCACCAGGGGTATTCTTCTACGTACCGAATGAATCCGCGCTGATCAGAATTTGTTTTAATCGATTTACCGAGTCAACCCGCCGTTCGCGCTTTCATTCGCGTTCTCTCTCTCTCCCTCTCTCTTCTCACCGGGCCTCGTTTCATGAGCACCGAACCGAACTATTCGCCAACCGCACCGCGGAGTACTCCAAGTATTCGCATTACCAGCGGGGATTCACCGCGTTCGGCCGCCGCCTCCGTGATCGGGGTTTCCAAGGGGAGCATCCAGACGAGACGAGACGAGATGGGACAAGAGCGTGGAGAATCGAGAGTTGGGAGGAGAAAGATATGGAACGGCGCTCTCTCGTTGCGGCATTAGATACAGGGCGGGCAGAGTTATACGGCAACCCAGGCCCGCTCGTGCGGCTACGCGCCGCGAAATTGACTCGCTCATCCGTGTACACCCTTATAGCGACCCCACGACTGCGCAATCCATTACGGCGCCATCGGGTTACCGGGCATCGCGGATCCGCTGCGGTGGTGTCGGCTTTTTGTTTCTCCCGAGTTCTCGCCGCGCGCCGGCAGAGTTCACGCAAACGAAGCCCAAGTCCGTCCGACACTTCACGTCCGCAGTAGAAATGGGGTTTACGTCAGGCACGAACGGACATCCACGAGCATTTCCCGATCCTTTTCTCTCTGTCTCCTTCCTTCTCCTACATACGTCACACACCGGAGACGTACTCCCGCCGCCGACGCGAGGAAAAAGGAGCAATCGCGTGTTAGGACCGGATTTCCGGCTACAGACAGGCCAGTTGCCGTCGCGTCACGTTCGGACGTATTTATTGGAAAGGGAGCGATCGTGAAGTTCGAAATTGCGCGCGCGATCGGCACATTAAAACTTCAATCTCGTTACAAGCTTTATTCGATATCCCATCTGCGATGTTCCGCCTGTATCAAGCTTTTGTATTATGTATTATTAACCATTCTCGAATAAATTTACATTAACTCCAGAAAAATTCCTCGTAATAGATATTTTCTTAATGAACATCCTTTTATAATCCGCGAGTCTTTTCAGTTTAAGAGAGGTACATGCTTTTCCGTAAAATACCGGTATGAGGAAATTACATAGATATACTTAACATACAATTATTAAATGAGAAAGTTACATTATTATAAATTAAAATTTCAAAACCAAATTATGAAGGATGATCTTATACCTAATCATATTGTACAAAAGAATTACATTAATATATTAAAATGTTATTAGTTCCGTTAATATTCGCTTTTAATAAAAGCGAATGAAATATAGAAATATAAATTAGACAAGAGATAAGTAATCTTATAAGAAAAAGCGAACTTAAATTATGACTTACATTCTCATTACTTCTTTCTTCAAATATCAAGAAATGTAAGAAATATGGCTGGATAAAATGTAAAAATGTAATAGCGAATGACATTAAAAACAACAATCGCTTACACAGGCTCGCGTTTAACGTTCAAACACGATCCATTAAAGCACACTAGCATTTCCATCATCGCTGCGTACTAAGAATTCATGTATCTTCATTTGTGTGGCCATGGATTTTATGTCCTACTTGAAACGCACATATTCGGTATAGAACGATCATGAAATGTCGTCTTCTAGAAAACATTTGCATTTATCATGTCAAATTCGGATGCGTTCGAAATCACTGTAAAATCGGGAAATAGTCGTGGATAATCCAAAGGTTAATCCTCGTTATCGCGATAATAATGACTCAAGTTTCTTGCTGTCATTGCAACTTGAAAGACGACCGCATCGCGACGAGCTGAGAACTTTATAGCTGGGGAAAATGAGAAAAACGGAACGAGATTTTCTCAGTGAATAACTGAACGAACGAAAGTCGGTATTATTTGCGTTACTATCGAGATTCATGCAGAATAAAATAGCGGTAAAAAAATGGTTCAGGCCATTTCAATAAGAATTACGATGATGGCCAGCGTATGACGACACACAGTTATAAAACCGAGAAACTCGGTAAATTAAAGTGCTGAGAACAAAAAAAAAGAAGAGAAAAAAGGGAGAGAAAGAAAAAAGTTATTTAAAAGAGAGAGGGACAGAAAGAAAGTACAGTAAAAAGGTAAAATTGATTTGCTGCTGTGGGACTAAATCTTTTTAGGCAGCTGTATGTAATATAGATAGATTGTATATGAGTAATAAAACTCGTTTTAAATATAAAGCAAGAACTATAAAAATTTGAACAATTATAAAAAAAATATAAATAAAGAAACAATACGATGTAATATAAAAGTAAAAACTATATGATCACGACACAAAAGTCACAAATACCTTTAGAAAAAAGGAAATATTCGAAACATTGTGATCTTCATATTCGAAATTTAAAATTATCATGATGCCCATTTAATGTTGATATTACAAATTTACAAATATAAAAAATTTTGTCTAAAATCTAATATTCCTTTAAATCTATCAATAAATTTATTATTACAATTTTCTTAGATTAAAAATTCTGGAATAAATCATATATAGACATTTTTAAACAATCGTATTTCTCCACACAAATTAAACTCGTGGATTTAAATTGAATATGAAGATAAGGAGACAAAGGAGGAAGAATGATATGCTTAGCCATACTTAGCCGACAATGTAATTACATTTCCATCCCCATTGCTTTGTATACCATTCTATCCACAGTGTCATTGTTATTATGCTCTATGTGGAGTGCTCGCGTGCAAATAATAATTATCTCAGGTCGGTCTGAACACGAGCCAGTGCGGAGACGACGATGCACGATAGTGTCCAGGGATTACTTATTATCGCGCCAGTGTATCTATAAAGATGAGAGAATTACGCTTTGCAAATAATACGAAAAATCGATCTCGTCATTGCCGCAGGTATAATGGCACGTTGAAGATCCCATCTTACCTACAGATTGTGCCGACGACGTTCTTTACTGTTACGTCCTTCCCCAGCCGGATACAGACGGAGGACGCTTTTGTCCGTGGAGACGTAAAAAAAAAAAAAAGAAAAAGATAAGAGATCTTACCGTACCGATATATACGAAAGAACGTTGTCGCGAGGCACGTCGGAAATGTACGACCCCCCGGATGGCTTTTAGTCGGATATATACTTCTATAGAGTAAAAACTTTTGTCGTTGCATTTGTCGATGAGAGCATTCTCTTTCAGGTACACCACTACTATCTCCCATCCTCCTTCTCTCAATTCTTTCTAATGTCGCCTTTACTATTTTAATTCTCCACCTCAAATTTATATAGCGAGAACGATTCTTTTCGCCTTTGCGAGCGAATTCTACGTTCGCTATCATTTTTATTTGCAATCGTAAAAACAGATTTGCGGACGTACCTCGCTTGTTCAGCTGATCCTCCACTACGACGGCGGATATCATGAAGACATTACCTACGCTCCCGCCTACGGCGAGGGAAGCCAGCAGCAAAAGTCGGGCCACTCTGGACCAGGCCGATGATAGAGTCACTGGCGAAACGTCAAGATCACCGTCGCTACTCATATTGCCATTCATCGCCTTGCTGTATCTTTCAAATTCAGAGTATATAGCCGTGGTGCTTATCGCACTGTTGTAGATCTCCGTAGTATTCATTCTGAAACTGAAAAAATTAATAAATCGTTATTTATAGAATGGTTTTACCTTATATAAGCCCACTAATTACGCTATACTTCACATCCTTAAGTAAAAACAAATTAAGATCAAATTTTAATAACAATTGTAATTAGAGGGTTCGCGTTCACATTCGAGTACGAATCACAACTACAGTTTGTGATCGAACTTATAAATTTAACTAGGTATAAACATACAAGAAGAAGGAAACCAATAACGGTCAAAGATGGATCACAAATGCTTATTAGATTTATGTGTGAATTTTATATACTGCGTATGTAGTCCCTCTAATCGCGTGCTGAAATTTTTTCAGACTTACAACGCAACACTAAACAATTAAACTACCGCAGTAATATCACTTATAGTTAAATTGACAAGCAATCTAACAATTTTTGATGCTTATAACATCTTATTGGATCTTAATAATATGTTGAAAGACATATTAAAATTTAACGATGTAAATGTTAAAGTAATGCTAAATCTAATTCTGTGAAAAATAAGATTGCGAAGAATATCACGAGTTGGCGTTTCGTCCCGGTTTCCACTACTGGACTCATCAGTAAGGCATTGTAATGGAAACCTACCTTAGACGCCTGTTTAAGTTATTAAATCGAGATTCTATATATACAGATATACGCGTATCTCGGCACTTGCGAGAAATTTTGCGAATATCGATAGACCTCCGATGGCGGTTCGACGTAGTAATATTCTTCGCAATATTTATCTAAAGTAGTAATAGACCGTTAATAGCTTTGACCGTTATTGGTTTCCTTCTTTTTGTATGTTTATTGTTTATCAATTGTACGGTCTTAAAAAGAATTTAGTATTTGTTAACTAGGTATTTTCCTCGGAAAATATCTCACGGATGATTAACAGCAAAGGCAACAAAGTTTAACTCCGATGAGCAACACATCACTTCCGTCTTTCATCAATTTAAAGGATGGCTCATGGTGGTCTGCAAGTCTGGAACACGAAGGAAACGAGGCTGAAGCTATTCGATATCACGCTATTACAGGAAGAGAGACCCTTTGAAGATTAGGGCCGACAAGACCATACCGACCACCCTAATTGTGAATTATCGATCGGACTACGGTGCGGGGATAGTCACCTGTTTCGACCATGTTAGGTTTCCACAATATCCTCGTTGTCACTAACAACATCTGCGCAATATCATGGTAATTAGCAAATATAAGTGTCATGGCAGTCAGATAACAGCTGACGCTGTACGAAATGTTGAAAAACACTGGAATTTAAGACTGCATAATATTCTCGTAAACTGTCCTTTATCTTCGAAAAGTTTCTCGGACATGCTGGCTTGCATGAATAAAAAGGAGAAAGTGCTTTTGTGTGTGTTTTCGAAAGAATATATTTCGAAAAATATTAGATTTTATCTGCTTAATTGAGGTTAAAATATTCTACGTGAATAAAAAAATTGCAAGAAATATGATATATTATATGATGTGACAAAGACATTTATTTATGTGAAAATATATTCGATCGGACGCTCAGTTAAACTTTATTATTGAATTTTGGATGAATAGCAAAACTATAAAATCGAGTATCATTTATTATATCGTCAAGACGTAATGTTAATTGTAATAGCGTTCAAAAGAAACAAATAGCGTTTTCAGTTTTTAACTGTTAAAATATAAAACTGTTATTTTTCTTTTAAATCCTTTTTTTTCAACGATTGTGCACATAATTGCGGCGAAAGCATAATTTGTATGTTAATAGTAATTTTAATTTATATTATTATATAGTACTTTAACATTTTAATTCATATAATTGACATTAACATTAACTGTACTATCAATCTATCTACAAAGATTATCTACTTTGCCATTCTACACGTGAGAATGGAAATGTCTCGGCTCCGTGCCTATAGCGTTTCCAAAGTGGATCTTAAATTTTCATTAGCAAATGAAGCCTCGGGCGGCATTTAAATGTTTAACACGGCCTATTCCGCCGGGCGGCGGACGCGAAGAAATTGATCGCGAAAATTGCGTTTAATAATAAAGCTGCATCATCACTCTTTCTTTCGACGAGCTATCGTTTCTTACTTACAGAAATATTTTCACTTGTTGCATTAGGGCTTGAAATGGCGAGCCCCTCGAGCCAATAATCTCATCAATCCCGTTACGTGACCTTTCACGCACATCGACATCGAATCAATTTCCCCGCGGACGTCGCCGGTATCTTTTCTTAATTGAAAAACGACTTCTGTGAGTGAGCGAAACGCGCCGTTCGCGCTGTGGAAAAAGCGGTAACTGCAAATTCTCGCTTCCGTCTTCGTGCGAAAGAGGATCAGCCGGAATGATCGATGTTCGCTGTAGATATACGAGATGTCTCAAAACTAGACTTCGCTTCTCGTTTAAGAATTTCTTTGACAAATTTAAAGATCAAATTCTACACAATTATAAAACAGAAATCACAACACTATTTAGTTTTTTTTTCTTCATTAATTGTTCATTTTTATTTTTGTCATATGAATTTTCGACATTTAAGTAGGTACGTCTCGATATCTGTCCGATTAAAGTACGATAAAAATCAACTAGAATAATGTAAATATATTAAACTTTTGTCATTTATTACGTAATTTGTGAGAAGCTGTTCATTCCTAATTGCTTGTAATTCAAAAGACGCAGGAAATCGAGGAATCCAAATCAAACAACAACAAAATAAACGTTACGACGAATTTGAGACACCCCGTACACAAACTTATGCGTCCTACGGATTTGGGGGTACGACTCTTACGTCCGCTTTAAGCGGCTTTTAAATTGTAGATCTATTTCGAGAGGTGTCTCCGACTGTCTGACTACTCGACGAGACGTATAGATTACAATCTCATTGCGACACCTTGCGAAAGTGGATCTCATTCGCGATGCAAAAAGATGCAAACGGTCCCATCGGCGGAAGAGAGCATCTCACGTTTCACGAGTCTCCTCCAATCCCGTTCGAATGTATGCGTAAAAACGAGTTACACGTTCGCCTCTCTCAAATCTAGAGCGCGTTTCGACGAAGACGCAACGATGGGTGTGCTTACAACGGGATGTTGACGAAGAACTACCGGGGGGTCCATCGATGTAGATTCTGAATGAACTAGATTACAAGAAGATGTGATTGCGTCTCCGCGACTAGGAAAAAAAAAAAGGGGGGGGGGATTGACTCAGAAATCTGGGCATGTTAAGGGCATACGGATGCAATCTTTTGAATTATTCCGACTGTACGGTAGAATCTACTCTCCCGCTTTACAATTAAAATCTCCACACAAATCTCCATACACGAGGAGACAGAAAATTCGGCTATTGCAGCGCCTTTTTCGGACGGATTGTCGCTTTATCTATTTGGAGATGCGCGCGACGGAGGAGAGTCATCTCTAGTCCGAGCTCGAGTAGACCGACGCGCGCGCGACGTGACATTGTCCTCTCGTCACGTCTCTTGCGGTCGGAAATGTCATATTTCCATTCATATACAGACGACAGAGGCGCGCGAGAGTCGTCTTACATGATTATGATTCGACCCGTGAACGCAGACGGCAGGAAACCCGCGAGATCTTTCACTGCAACACCAGAGCAGGCTCGCTCCGTGTGGTTGATATCGGATTTCGGTTGGGATCGATGATAGTCGGGAATACAGTTAACCCCCCGCGCCAAATCTAGTCTACGTCCGTATCCGACGAACGGGAATAAAGCGCGATGTTTAATTGCGACGATAACGCTTACGCGTTTAATTACCACCTCGCTACTTGCCCCGATCGCCACCTTTCGTACTCTGTAGGTCGCTAAAATTTTTACGGCGTCGACATACGCGAGGCTCGCAAGCGACCCTCTCTCGCGAAAAGAACGTACGACGATCTTCCGGACGATCGTTTCGGCGGGCGCGCATTTCGACTTTTTACGACTCATTAAAGCGGCCGAAATCGAAATTACGGTGCCGCGATATATACCATGTTTTATTGACAATAAAGCCGGCGAGTAGTAATTAGGTTCGTATCAAGTTTGCAAACTGCTTCATTTTAAGACTTTCGGAACTCCACACCCGCGTACGCGCGAGTGCCATCGATGCTCGAGGAGTGGCGCCGTTAATTTGCATGAAAGTAATCCGCAAATGAATATTCACCCGGCATATCATTAAGGCCGTGAAAGGAGACGCAGGCCGGCCAGAGTTAAGAGTTAATGTTCACGCGTCCGTAACGATCAAAACATGTTCATTCCGTATTTATATATGTAAACTGTTGAAACTCAGAACAAAATAAACATGAGCCTTCTTGCCAATTTAACAAATGACATACGATATACGAGCCTTACGCGCTTTTGGAAGCGCGCGCTATCAAAAAATCTAAATATAATTAATATATACAATATTCGAAAACTATCATGAAAACGTATCGAAAGCAATGACAATTTTTAACGTTCAACGATCCATGCAATTACACGCCATTACCTTTATACGTCTTATCCATAGGAATGGATTGGATATACAACGCCATAACTCTTTTAATCCAACAAGAAACGTTGTAAAGTAGATTCTTAGAGCCATCGCGCTCCGATCGGCCGCGTATAAACTATCGATGGACGATTACAGGGCGGAAAATAAAATTTCTCCGGGAAACGTACGTGCCGGTGTGATAAAGGCGACAACAAATTTCGCGGATGGCGGAGTTACGCGATTACGTGACGCGTCGGCCGGGAAGGTTACGAGAAAGTTTCTGGAGTGTAAAGTGGGCTTAAGGCGGCCGCAGGATAAGAAGTCACCGAGGCGAGGCTTTATGAGGAAGAGAGGGTTATAGAAAGAGAGACGGCGTAGTCGTGAGAATGTACACGGCTAAGCAAAAAATTCCTCTAGAAAAGTGCTCTCGAAACGGCCCGGAAGTTTTTCATGGACGATACCCCAACCCCTTAACATCCGGGTCACGTACACCGGCATCTTTTAATAAATAATGCATCGTCGATATTTGGTGTGAGATGCTGTAATTTCCTGCG